AGCTGGAAAGACAGAGTTTAATTTTCTAAAATGTAATGAGCAGTTGAGTTCAGGACAAGACATACTTTGTGGTGATGCATCTGGGGCCTTATTTCCACTTTGTAGTTCTGGTGAATCAACTTCCCAGCCGGTGAGTTTCCTTTATGCATAACCTGCTTCCTTTGGTCTACCCGGTTCTCCATGTTCACAGGGGAACATACAGTTTCAAATCTAAAGGTTGTCTTAGGAAAGTTGTAGCTAGTCAAAAAACTGTCATACCATTCTTCAAGGGAGGTTGAAGTAGGGATATCTTTCCAGGCTCAGATTTAGGAAGGATTGAGGGTGTGGGTTTATCTACAAAGGGAAACATTACACAAGGCTATGGGCTCTCTTGTAAAAGCTTGAGATTTTCCCCTAAATTTTTCTTTCTATCACTTAATTCATGATTTTTCTTCAGCCTTGCCATACTATAAATGTAAAAGTAGGTAGTCATTTAAATAAGCCTTTAAAGCAGTGGTTCTCAACCTTCTGGCACTTTAAATACAGTTCCTCATGTTGTGACTCAACCATAAAATTATTTTCGTTGCTACTTCATAACTGTAATGTTGCTACTGTTATGAATCGTAATGTAAATATCTGATATGCAGGATGGTCTTAGGCGATCCCTGTGAAAGGGTCGTTCGACCGCCAAAGGGGTCGCGACCCACAGGTTGAGAACCGCTGCTTTAAAGCAAAAAAAGGGGCAAAATTAGATATTTTTCTTAACTGATTTAACTGTTATGGTTTTCATACTAATCTGATGTTTTGTCTCTATTTGCTTCCCCTTCTGTTTCAAAAGCACCTAGAAACCTGGGGTTTTGTTTTGTTGTAGATGGACCCATTGTAACTCCATGCAATGTACGCGCGCGCGCATGTGTGTGTGTGTGTGTGTGTGTGTGTGTGTGTGTGTGTGTGAAAATCTTTTGACTTAGTAGTAGGTCCATTGTGCTCATCAGAAGATAAAAGTATGTTCTTCCTACTTGCTTTTCAGGATTAATCTGTATTGAAGCTCATTCTATAGACTCTTCCATCCAAGAAAAGATCATGTTTTTAGTTTTCTTTTTTTTTTTTGCAACCTTAAACTAATAAAGCTAGACATCTCCTAGTTATTCTACTATCTCTAGGAAAAATGTAGAGTTGGATTCTTAAAATTTTAGACAAAATTGCTTACCTGGTATGTAAACAAGTATATACTCAAGATGATAACACATTGTTTCAGCCTTTTGCTAGATTTCCCTTAGCAACTGCTTAATTGATGGCCATTTTACAAAGCATTGAGGAGACATTTGTTTGTATTGGCACTTTTTGATAATTATGTGTGTTCCTTGCTTTTTGTGGTTCTTTTGACCAAAATACTCATAAAAGTAAAAGTAATTTTAGAGCCCTACCCGGTTTTGCTCAGTGAATAGAGCGTTGGCCTGCAGACTGAAGGGTCCTGGGTTCAATTCCGGCCAAGGGCACATGCCCAGGTTGTGGGCTCGATCCCCAGTAGGATGCGTGCAGGAGGCAGCCGATCAATGATTCATTGATGTTTCTATCTCTCTCTTCCTCTCCCTTCCTCTCTGAAATGAATAAAGAAATATATTTTAAAAAGTAATTTTAGAATATATGTCTACTTTAAGAATTTAATTGTCTGCTTTAAATACTCTCTCATTGGTGAAAAATGGGATGGACATTTACTTTTTATTGTAAATTCATTTGTACCTTTCAAGTGTTTTCAAATAGAAAAAGTATAAATAATTTAAATAAAGAAGCAAATCAGTATAACCTCTAATAAAACTTGAAAGTAGAACTTAAACTGTTAGCATTTTACAATATTAATTTGAAACATTATCAATGTGTAATTTAAAATGGCATTTAAAAAAGAAAATTAAGCCCTAATGGGTTTGGCTCAGTGGATAGAGCGTCGGCCTGTGGACTGAAGGGTCCCAGGTTCGATTCTGGTCAAGGGCATGTGCCTTGGCTGCGGGCACATCTCCAGTGGGGGGTGTGCAGGAGAAAGCTGATCAATGTTTCTCGCTCATCGATGTTTCTAACTCTCTATCCCTCTCCCTTCCTCTCTGTAAAAAATCAATAAAATATATTTAAAAGAAAAAGAAAATTAAGAAGCAAATACCTACAAAAATCTTACTATAATGATTAATTAGTTTAAACAAAATAAAACAACTTCTGAGTCAATCATCTCAATAGGTCTATTTTAGTCTGAGTGAATTAATTGCCAGTGACAACTGGAGCTTCTACTTATTTGATAATAGATATTGAAGACTCCCCTCCTCTCTGTAAAAAAATCAATAAAATATATTTAAAAGAAAAAGAAAATTAAGAAGCAAAAACCTACAAAAATCTTACTATAATGATTAATTAGTTTAAACAAAGTAAAACAACTTCTGAGTCAATCATCTCAATAGGTCTATTTTAGTCTGAGTGAATTAATTGCCAGTGACAACTGGAGCTTCTACTTATTTGATAATAGATGTTGAAGACATTTATAATAAACCTTAAAGCATAATAAATAAAATTTAATAATTTCTTTTTTAAAAAGTAAATATCTTCCAGAAATGGGAGTAATTTAATGTGATGCTCACTCATAAATCTGATCATTTTATAATACTTTGTAAGACTTAAACCCTACTTCATCCCACACTTCTTGGCAATTACTTTTAAAATATAAATTCAGGGACAAATTAAATAAGTGCAAAGCAAATTATAGAAAGCAAGAAGTATTTTCCTCCTCTGTAATCTAGCAAACAGTATTACAATTTTAAGTGGGTGCAGTAACTGTTTAGGGCTCTAAGCGCCGCTGTTCACCTAACTTGGAGATAAATATAACCAAAAGCCATCCGGATACTCTGGGCTCTCACCTCACTAAGACCTGCAAATCCCACAAATCAACTGCAGGGCTGCAGCGAAACTCCGTCCTACATTTGGGACAATCTGGCTTTCCGAGGGGATCTCCGAGCCTGCAGCATAAAGGTGAACAAGACACTTATGCCCAATGAAGATTCCGAGTGGATTCCATAGCGAAAGAACAATGGCCGCTCCAAAGAATTACGGAGGATGCAGGGAGCTGTTCCTGCTGTGCGCGCTCCTGAGTTCGCTGTGGGAGATTGGGAGGGGACAGATTCACTACTCCGTGCCAGAAGAGAGCGACAAAGGATCCTTCGTGGGTAACATCTCTAAGGACCTGGGGCTGGAGTCTCAAGAGCTGGCGAAGCACGGAGTCCGCATCGTCTCCAGAGGTAGGACGCAGCTTTTTGCTCTGAATACTCAAAGAGGCAGCTTGGTCACCGCCGGCAGGATAGACAGGGAGGAGCTCTGCGCTCAGAGCGCACGGTGTCTTGTAAATATCAACATCCTCGTTGAGGATAGAGGAAAAATTTTGGGGATAGAAATAGAAATTACTGATATCAATGATAATAATCCGAAGTTCCAGGCCGAAAATCTGGAAGTAAAAATTAATGAAATCGCGGCGCCTGGCACACGCTATCCACTCCCAGAGGCTGTTGACCCGGATGTGGGCTTGAATTCCCTGCAGAGCTACCAGCTCAGCCCCAATCACTATTTCTCTCTGGACGTGCGAACTGGAGACGACGGAACTTTAAACCCAGGGCTGGTGCTGGAGCGTGCCTTGGACCGAGAGGAAGAGGCTGCTCACCACCTGGTCCTCATCGCCTCTGATGGAGGCGAGCCTCCTCGCTCCAGCACAGTGCACATCCTAGTGACAGTGTTGGATGTGAATGACAATGCCCCAGTGTTTGCTCAACCGATTTACCAAGTAACAGTCCCAGAGAATGTGCCCCCTGGCACCCAGCTGCTTACTGTAAGAGCTAGTGATCCGGATGAGGGAATCAATGGAGAAGTGGCTTATAAATTCTGGAAAATTAGTGAAAAACAATCTCCATTATTTCAGCTCAAAAAAACAATCTCCGTTATTTCAGCTCAATGAAAAAACTGGGGAAATATCAACAGCAAAGAGTCTAGATTATGAAGAATGTGCATTTTATGAAATGGAAATACAAGCTGAAGATGTGGGGGCTTTTATGGGGAGGACCAAAGTGCTCATTTCGGTGGAAGACATAAATGACAATAGACCGGAAGTGATTGTTACATCTTTGTTTAGCCCAGTCTTGGAGTGGGGGCTCTCATGGAGAGGACCAAAGTGCTCATTTCAGTGGAAGACATAAATGACAATAGACCAGAAGTGATTGTTACATCTTTGTTTAGCCCAGTCTTGGAAAATACTCTTCCTGGAACAGTAATTGCCTTCTTGAATGTGCATGACCGGGACTCCGGGAAGAATGGTCAAGTTGTTTGTTACATACATGATAATTTACCTTTTCAATTAGAAAAATCAATAGATAATTATTATAGATTAGTGACATGGAAATATTTGGACCGAGAAAAGATCTCCATGTACAATATCACAGTGATGGCCTCAGATCTAGGAACCCCACCTTTATCTACTAAAACTCATATCTCCCTGCATGTGGCAGACACCAATGACAATCCACCCACTTTTTCTCATGCCTCCTACTCAGCCTATATCCTGGAGAACAACCCCAGAGGAGCTTCCATCTTCTCTGTGACCGCCCATGACCCTGACAGTGGCAAGAACGCCCAAGTCACTTACTCTCTGACTGAGGACACCATCATGGGAGCACCTCTTTCTTCTTATGTCTCCATCAACTCTGACACCGGTGTGCTGTATGCAATTTGTTCCTTCGACTATGAGCAGATTCGAGACCTACAGCTACTGGTGACTGCCAGGGACAGCGGGGACACTCCACTCAGCAGCAATGTTTCACTGAGTCTGTTCATTCTGGACCAGAATGACAACACACCTGAAATTCTCTACCCCTCACTCCCCAATGATGGTTCCACTGGTGTGGAGTTAGCACCCCGCTCTGCAGAGCCCAGCTACCTGGTGACGAAGGTGGTGGCAGTGGACAGAGACTCAGGCCAGAATGCCTGGCTGTCCTACCGCCTGCTCAAGGCCAGTGAGCCAGGGCTGTTCACGGTTGGACTGCACACGGGGGAGGTGCGCACTGCACGGGCCCTGCTGGACAGAGACATGCTCAGGCAGAGCCTGGTGGTGGTAGTCCAGGACCATGGCCAGCCCCCCCTCTCCACCACTGTAACGCTCACTGTGGCTGTTGCAGACAGTATCCCAGAGGTCCTGGCTGGCCTGGATGACATGAAGAACCCTGACAACTCTGAAGACTCAGATCTCACGTTGTACCTGGTGGTGGCCGTGGCCATTATCTCCTGTGTCTTCCTTGCTTTTGTGGTTGTTCTGCTGGCGCTCAGACTATGGCGATGGCATAAGTCTCGTATGCTTCAAGCTTCAGGCAGAGGATTGGTGGGCTTGCCTGCCTCAAGCTTTCTGGGTGTGGAAGGAGTACAGGCATTCCTTCAGACCTATTCCCATGAGGTCTCCCTCACTGCAGACTCAGGGAAGAGTCACCTGATCTTCCCTCAGCCCAACTATGCACATACACTCATAAGCCATGAGAGCTGTGAAAAAAATGGTTCCTTGTTAACACCCATAGATTTTCACGAAGGTAAGGACGAAGCTACTTCGGCTCAGGTGAGTTCAGTTTTTGTTTACATTATTTCTCAGAGGCATTATATTCTTTATAAATCTATGTGTTTTGAAACATGTATTATGCAGAAAGTTTAAAATAGTTTTAAGGTGTACCCTAAATATGGGGGTCATTTTAGTGGTGATACTACAAAATTGAGCTCTAATTATCATAGTTTGTTTTATTTGCTTTCCCAAGGATTGGACATGATTGTTTAAATGTGAACTCTCAACCTTTTAAAGCCTTCCATATTTTACTGTAATTATAATTATCACTTATCACTCATTCACTTAAGAAGTAGTTGCCCAACCACAGAAGTTACGTTTGTTTTCTATATAGGAATACTATATTCCTAAATTAGGACTGAGAGAAAATTATTGAGACTCCTAAATCCTTGAATTATCTTAGTAGAAATAAAATACATCACAGAATTTTATCATGTGTTTAGGGTTTGAACCTAAAACTAAGCTCTGAAAGATTCCTTCTTTTTAAGTCTCTTTTCAGAACCCTGTGTCTGCATTAGTACCCTTCAAAACTTTAAGGCTTCTTATATTCCAAAATGTACACACATTTTAAATGGTGGGTCCTGGTTGTAGGTTTGACTCTCCCTAAATGTTGAATTTGTGTGTCAATGTTCATCCAGGCTCACACAAATGGAAACATGGAATCTAAAGTCCAAAATAGACATTGCTCCTCCCCCCCAAAAACAAAACAACAAAATCAAGCCTGAAATAAAATGTCATTTAAACCATTGAAAGAGACTTTTGTAAAATACAGAATCCCATGTTTCAGTAGAGTTCTACTGAATTGCTTTGATGGTGCAACCATGTGAAATGTGTACTCATGGTAAGAGAGTTTGAGAATGTTAATTTAAAGAACAGAAGTTTCATGGACACAAATTCTAAATAAGTTAATCAACTAAAAATGATTCCATATGAACTATGTGTATGGCTTCTATATTCCTTGTTATAGCATTTTAATGAAGCTAAACCTTGACTTGTCATCAAGAGTAAGTAGAAAATACAATAAAATATTTGTTAGTAATAAAAAAGACACTTCCCACCCTAGACGGCTTGGCTCAGTAGATAGAGCGCTTGCCTGGGGACTGAAGCATTGCGGGTTCGATTTTGCTCAAGGGCATATGCCTGGGTTTCGGGTTTGATCCCCAGTAGGGGGCATGCAGGAGGCAGCCGATCAATGATTCTCTCTCATCTTTGATGTTTCTATCTATCCTTCTCCCTTCTTCTCTGAAATCAATATATACATTAATAGACATTTCCCAAGGATAGTGCACTGTTCCCTCCTATTTGCATATACAGTGGGTGGGAGTTAACTTTATATTTTCTGTAGTGTTTGGATGCACAGTCATTTGAGGGGACAACTATATTACTGGTACTTTACAATTTTAAAAAGTATGTGGAAATTTGTCCTAATAAAAAAAGAAAATTCTTTCTCTTGGTCAAAACATTCACTAATTGTCAAAAAAAATTTAAATGAAGTAAAAAAAATAGAACAAATGTCTCTATATTCAGTAAATGTATTTAAGTAAACTTACCATGAGCTCAGCTCCTTCCATTTCAAAGTCATTACTTCAGTACAACATAGGTACATAGATAAGGAAATAATGCAGTCTACTGGGATATCCCTTTGTGACTTTATATTAAAGAATAGATAAACATTTCCCCAGTAACTTTTACATACTCCATTGGGTATGACATAGGCCAAGTAATTCTGAGATATGAAGAAGAAGGTAGAGTAAATCATAGCTTGGCTAATCATTGAGACAGTATTTATGGAATGAATATTTCCTGAGATAGTCAGAAGAGTAAAAAATATTAATTTTATAAACAGTATTGATATTATCAGAAGGAGGAGGTGTTTGGGATTAGTAAGGAATTGCACAACTTTACCAGTAATTTCAACAGTATTGATATTCTCTTAATATATGTGATGTGAAACAGCATTAATTGTGTAGAAATGTTGGGGCAAAACATAGGAATGAATAAAAGAAGGAAGTTATTTCACATGTCATGGCTAATAAAGACAATGAATTTGTGAAATCAGTAGATGATAAACTCTGAGGGCAATACCTATGATTTTCCCGTTGTTATATCACCAGTAACAAACACAAGCCAAGAGTTCAATGTATGTTTGTAGAATGGGGAAATGAATGCACCAACACAGGTGAGGAAAAAGTGGTTTACAGTTGTAAGTATCGGAAACCCAATTTATTCTTGTATTATTGTATTATTCTCCATATGAGCAACTGTAAACCTACTTACCTGTATATAAACCTGTATATATAGGTTTGTATAAAAACCCAACGCGATATATCTAATGCTTTGAAAACAAGAGTACAGATACCTTAAAGAAGGTCTTATAATTTAAGATGTAAATGTAGTAACAAAAAAACGGCTTGTTTAGTCTAGTACACGATTATAATTACTGTAGCTCCTTAGCCTGAAGCAGCAGAGGCTGCAGTTTCATAGTGCGGACTCTGGGCGCCGCTGTTGGCCAGAGTGGAGAGCTCGGCGCTGGTGATCGCCTCGCGCAGCCGCAGCTCGCTTTCCTCAGCTCTCTCGCTAGAGCTGGCCTTTCCACCGCTCCCTCCTCTGGAAAAGAAGAAACCCTGACCCCCACGCAGGAACTAAAGGCTGTTCGGGGCTCTGGACGTCCGCGACACAGACATTACTGGTCATCCGGCGTCTTCAGGCCGGTGAGCACGCTGAGGGGAGCAAGAGGGATGGGGAGCGGCGCTGGGGACTGGGGCTGGGCTGAGCGGCGGCCAGTGCTCTTTCCCTTCCTGCTGTCTTTGTTCTGCCCGGCGCTCTCTGAGCCGCTCCGCTACCGGATTCCCGAGGAAATGCCCGAGGGCTCGGTGGTGGGGAACCTCGCCAAGGACCTGGGACTCAGTGTCCGCGAGTTACCGACTCGAAAACTGCGCGTCAGCTCTGAGAAGCCTTACTTCACTGTGAGCGCAGAGCGCGGGGACTTACTTGTGAGCGGCAGGCTGGACCGGGAGCAGATATGCGGGAAGAAGCCAGTATGTGCTCTGGAATTTGAGGCTGTTGCTGAAAAGCCATTGAACTTTTACCACGTGAACGTGGAGATCGAGGATATTAATGACCACCCTCCCAAATTCATGCAAAACTCCTTTGAGCTGCAAATAAGTGAGTCCACACTGCCGGGCACGCGATTTATATTAGAAGTAGCGGAAGATGGCGATACTGGCCTAAACTCTCTGCAGAATTACAAACTCTCTCTAAGTCCTAGTTTCTCCTTGATAAATAAGGAGAAACCAGATGGTAGTAAATACCCGGAACTGATATTGGAGAAACCCTTAGACCGGGAACAACAGAAGCATCATCGATTAGTCCTCACTGCCTTGGACGGCGGAGATCCACCCCTAAGCGGTACCACTGAGCTCCAGATCCAGGTCACCGACGCCAATGATAACCCCCCTGTATTCAAGCAGGACGTGTACAGAGTCAGGCTTTCAGAAAACGTGCCACCGGGCACCACTGTGCTGCAGGTGTCAGCCACCGACCTGGATGAGGGCCTCAACTCAGAAATAACGTATTTTTTGTACAGGACGGGGCAAGTGTTCCATCTGAATTCAAAGAGCGGGGAAATTACCACTTCGCGGACACTGGATTACGAAGAAATCAAGGAGTATTCTCTGGTGGTGGAAGGAAGGGATGGTGGAGGACTGGTGGCACAATGTACAGTTGAAATTAACATTCAAGATGAAAATGACAACAGCCCAGAAATTACATTCCATTCTCTGGTGGAAATGATTCTGGAAAACGCAGTGCCAGGAACTCTAATTGCTTTCATCAAAATACATGACCGTGATTCTGGGGAGAATGGGGAGGTTAATTGTCGATTAGAAGGTCAAGTCCCCTTTCAGATCATCTCTTCATCCAAAAGTTCATATAAACTGGTAACAGACGGGACCCTGGATCGAGAACTGACCCCGGAGTACAATGTCACCATCACAGCCACCGACAGGGGCAAGCCGCCCCTCTCCTCCAGCACCACCATCACCCTGCACGTCACAGACGTCAACGACAACGCCCCGGTTTTCCAGCAGTCAGCCTACCTGGTCCACGTGCCAGAAAACAACCCGCCCGGGGCCTCCATCGCGCAGGTCAGCGCCTCCGACCCCGACCTGGGACTCAACAGCCAGATCTCCTACTCCATCGTGGCCAGCGACCTGGAGGCACGGGCGCTGTCGTCCTACGTGTCCGTGAGCGCGCACAGCGGGGTGGTGTTCGCGCAGCGCGCCTTCGACCACGAGCAGCTGCGCGCCTTTGAGCTGACGCTGCAGGCCCG